TGGGGAAGACGGCTCTGGGCCTGGGCTGTTCCCAGCCCGTGGGCTCGTGGGTACGGGCGGGCAGTGCTGGCCAGCTGGGAGCCCCGACATCCCTGGAGGCAGGCAGGGGGGAACCAGGCCTGGCTCAAGCGATCCCTATTCCAGTGTCAGGACCCCTGCGGGGCCATCAGCTCGGCCCTGTGCGCACCCCTGGCTGCCCCAGCGCGGCTGGGCCTTGGGGACCCCTGAGAACCTGTGCCCTGTGACCTGTCCCTTTCCCCGACCCTCCCACGGCAGCAGGCCCAGGTTCACGGCTGAGGCCAGTGGTACAGTCCATTTGGTCTACAAGTCCCTGGTGGTGCAAACGACTCCGTGTCGGGGGAGGGCTCCGGGCAGTGGGGCAGTAGCTCGATTCTCCGCTGCAGGAGCGCAGCCCGCAGCCCGCGGGTCTCACCCCCAGGCCCAGGCCCCCCTCCCCCGGTGCCGGGCGGCCCAGCTTTGCTATAGCACGTTGTAGTAGGCCATCTCCTTCATGGCCTGCTCGGTGAGGACGCTGGCCTCCGCGCTGCCGTCCACGCCCGCGTACGCGTAGGCATTCTCCTCGAAGTCCTCCATCTCCTGCTGGCCGTCCAGCTCCGAGGGGTCCGTGCCCGTCAGCTCCATCATGGGGTCTGCAAGACAGGGGCACAGTTAGCCCCGCCGCCACCTCTCCCGGGAGGAGCCCGTCGCCCCCACGCAGGAGGCGCCTGGCCTTTCTAAGGAAAGAACTTCCCGGTCACTGTTTCCACAGGATTCGCGGCTGCCTCAGCCTTGCCCCTCGGGGAGGCACCAGGCGCTTGTGGCTACTCTGATGGGCCATCAGACCTGAGCCCTCTGTGTGTGTGTGTTGAGGGAGGGTGGTGGTGGAGGGGTGCAGGCCTGGCCTTGGCCTCTTGGTCCTGCCTCTCCTGTCTCTCCTAAGCCACTAAACTTATTTCTCTTCTGCAATGTTTCTCATCGGTCCCCTTTGCTGCACCGTGTCCCCTCTCGGCATCAGCAATCATTAAGCGCCTTCTGCATGCCGGGCATTGCACACACATCAGCCTGTGAGTGCTCACAGCGACCCCAGTTAGGAGGCCAAAGGGCAGGTCAGGGAGGTTCGTCAGCTTGTCAGGGGGACCCAGCAGGTACTGCCGGTTTCATCCTCTGACCTCCTGTAGCACGGATGCTTCTTATTTTATTTTATCTTACTGATTTGAGCGGGAGAGCAACATCGATGTGCTGTTCCCCTTATTCATGGGTTACTTCTTACATGCGCCCTGACTGGGGATCGAACCCGCAACCTTGGGGTCGGGATGAGGCTCTAACCCACTGAGCTGCCCGGCCAGGGCCAGCATTTGCGCCTGAAGCCAGCTCTACCCAGTGGTCTTCCCGGGCCTTGATCTCCAAGGACAAACACACCCCCAGGAAAGGCTAACACAGAGGAGGAGGCAAAAACTCTAAGCGGCCTGTAATTTTATCCAACCGAAATCTTATTCTAATGCTCTTACTGTCGGAACAAGAGCCAGACAGAAAACACACAGGAGGCCCGGGCTGTCTTCCAGTGAGTCACGGGAGGGGGCGGGGGGTGGGAGGGGGAACCCCGGGGGATGATCTGGGGACCCTGGAAGGGTGGCCACCAGGGCTGGGGCTAAAGCCTTAGTGTGCATTCTGCCCCTGCCCACCTCGGACATGGAAGTGTTTGGGGGAGAAATGGATCCCAGACCGGGGTACCCTGATAAGTCTAAGGCAGGGAGGGCTGTCAACCCCAGCCTGACTAACATTTGGGGCCATCACTGTTTGTTGGGGGGGCCCGTCCTGTGCATTGTAGGATGTTTAGCGGCACCCCCGGCCCCCGTCAGCTCCATGCCAGTAGCATCACCCCAGTTGTGACAACCAAACACGGACCAAACATCCCTTGGGGGTAACTCCCCACTCTGTTGAGAACCTCAGGTCTAGGGGCAAACCCCGCCCACCCCTTGCCCAATGAGTGGCCCAGGACGAAGCACGGGACCCCCGCTGGCCTGTGAGCTCTTAGGATGAGGAAAGGCTGCCCTGTGAATCCTCAGAATGTGCTTGTTGGCTTCACAGAGCAAAGGGGGAGCAGGCCCTTCCTCTCCCACGGCAGCCATCCTGGGCCTGTGAGGACAATCGCACTTTTTGCCTTGGCTGCCAGGAAGCTCAGCGCTCCCTTCTGCGCGCCCGCCAGACTTCCCACGGTGCACGTGGCGTTGGGACCTCACCTGGCTTCCCCTTATCTCTCCAGATGCCATTTTCCCATTTGATAATTTCCTTCCCGCCCCTTTATTTTACGTCATCTCTCAGTAATGAGAGACGGTATCGTTCCCGCGTGTTGCGATGTGACACGAGTTACCTAACGTCTCTGTCCCTGAGCGTCCGCATCGGTAAAACGGCGGCGATAACCACAGAGCCAACCTCACCTTCAGGGTCACGTGAGTTAATAAAGGCTTGGCACACAGTTCGCACTCAATAAACGGTATTCTTTTTATTATATGGTTTACGTGAGCCCGCTTAAATCCTTTGAAGAATACATGAACATCCCGTCGTCACCACCGTGGCCCTCCAGGGGGCCCGCTCTCCAGACCTGAGCCCACCCCAGCGAGGTCTCAGGCCTGGCCAGCCTCCCGCCTCCCCTAACGGGACAGGAGGCTCCAGCGTGCGCCGTGAGAGTCCCGCTCCTGGTCCGTCCACTGCGCGTGGCCCACCCACCTTGGCTGTCCAGGCCGATGTCCATGACCCCGTGCTTGACCTTCATGTGCCGGCTCAGGTTGCCCTTGAGGTTGAACTTGCTGGAGCAGTAGGGGCACTTGAAGGGCTTGCTGCCCGCGTGCAGGTGCATGTGGCCCAGCAGGTTGTACATGCGGTTGAAGGACTTCCCGCACACCTGGAACACACCACGGGTGCTGTCAGCCCACAGGGGGTCCGCCCTCCAGAACCCAGCCCTCGCCCACCTCCCTGGCCGGGCTGCGGTCCCACCCGCTATGGCCAGCGCCGATTTCATTCTTTCCTATGGGACCCCTGAGAGGCAGAGAGCTAAGCCTCCTCACCAGTCACTGTTCCTGGTTAGAAACCCAGAGTTCGGATCTCCTGCTGCACCAAGTCCCCGGCCTGGGCTCTCTCCCTGTGGCTGCACCTTGACCTTCACTCTCCCCCCCCCCCCCCCCCCCCACCCACAACTCGGACACACAGCTTCAGCAGCTTGTAAGATCTGAACCGCACCACCCACTCCCATCTCCCCAAAGCCCGGGCAGTTTCGCCCACCCAGCGCCGACTGTATGCATTGCATACAGACG